AGGTAGAGCCCTGAGCGGCTTGGGAGTCCTTGATGTCAGATTAGACCCCATCCCCTCAGGCTGTGTGTCTGAGGTTAGAGAAGTCTGTACTGTCAGAGGTTAGACCTCTCCCCATGGAGGCTGTTGTGCTGTCAGAGGTTAGACACCCCCATGGAGGCTGTGCGGTCAGAGGTTAGACCCCCCTCTTGAAAGCTGTGCAGTTAGAGGTTAGATCCCCCATGGAGGGTATGCTGTCAGAGGTTAGACCCCCCCCCCCCATGGAGGCTGTGCTGTCAGAGGTGAGGACCCCCCCATGGAGGCTGTGCTGTCAGAGGTTAGACACCCCCATGGAGGCTGTGCTGTCAGAGGTGAGGACCCCCCCCCATGAGGCTGTGCAGTCAGAGGTTAGATCACCCCTGGAAGCTGTGTACCCTCTCCTAGGCTCTGCTGTCAGAGATTAGAGGTCCCTCCCACTTTCAGGCTATGCTGTCTGAAGTTAGAGCCTCTTTTTCTTTTTAATTAAATTTTATTGTCAAGGTGGTGTACAGAGGGGTTGCAGTTACATTCATAACGAGTGCATTTCTTGTCAAACATTGCCCCCCCCCACCGATTTTCTCCCACTTTCCCTCCCTCCCTCCTCTGACTCCCCCCCCAGCTTCTTTTTAACAGGCTCCCCAGCCTCAGTGCCCCAGGGGGTCCACCTGGGAAGGAGTGTGGGTGGCTGTGTCCCGACCACCCTTGTGCCCCAGGCCCTCCAGCACAGTAGCCTAGAGCCTTATTTCTTGGCCCACCTCTTCGGTGGCCCCGCCTCCCCAGGAGTTCTGGCATGCTCCCTCCAGAACTGAGCTACAGTTGACCCCACCACCCCCTAGGAAGACACTTTTATTGCCCAATCTTGGGGAGCCAGAGAGGTTAGGTAACTTGCCTGAGGTCACACAGAGAACAGAGGGATTTTTCATTTTCCAAATATCAAGCCAGGCTTTGATTTTTCTGATGATGTAGGCAGCCTCGCACCGGAAGTCCCACAGGTGCCCTGCCCGCCCCAGGCTTGGCGACATGAAGTCACCACAGCCTTGGCTCTGCATCCAGCCTCTATCCTTCCTATGCCATAGCTTGGGGCCTCAGTTTCCCCTGTGAAGTGAGCCCCTCTGCTGCTGGCCTCTCAGAGCGGTTCTGAGGGTTCAGGGCCAGAAATTTGGCGTATGGTGACCTTGAACTTGGAGCTGGGAAGACAGATGGAGGAGCCTCCTGCAGGCTCCCAGCGCCTCATGTAAAAGTGAGGCTGCTGGGCACCCACTTGCAGACCTGCTCTAGCGCCCAGAAAGTGCTGCTGGTGCCTCCCTTGGGAACCTAGCTTTAGGGGGACAGATGACAGGCATGTAGACAAATGACAGATGATTTCCCTGTGGAGTGCATGGCTGGTGAAGGAAACAGCGTGGTCCTGAACACATTAGCTGAGTGATGAGGGAAGTCCTCGGAGGATGTGACAGTAAGCTGACAACTTCCCATCAGGAGAAGATGTGGGAAGTGCAAAGGTCCTGGGTCCAGAGTATAGACACCTTTGAGAGCAGAGGGAATGAATGGCAGTTTAGAGGGAGTTAGGATCAGGTGGCAGAAGATGGGATCTGGTTAGGCAGGGCTCCTTCGGCCTGGGGGTGGGATTCTGTACTTCAGGGCTCAATGGCAGGAGAACTCAACATGTCTTTTTATTTAATTTCATTTTGAGACAAAGTCTTGCTCTAAAGTCCACGCTGGCCTGTAATTCTTTCTCCTCCTGCTTCAGTCTCCCAAGGGTTGAGCTTACAGGGAGGCCCAACCATGCCCTGCATCATGCACCCAGCCCCTGAGTGCTCGCTTGTGGAATGAAAATGCGAACTCGTGACAGGATGAATGCCTCTGTGAGAGGGAGCACTGGGTGTGTGTGGCCGCCTTGTAACCCCTTTTGTGGAACTGGGGTCACCCCCCAAAAGCCTGTGCCCAGCCAAACCAGGAGTCAGGACCATTCCTCCAGCAAGCCCTGGCTTCCCATGCCCCCTCCTCCTGCCTGAAACCTCAAATTACCTGCAGCTGATGCTTCCAAGATGCACAGGGCAGACCCACCCCCCCTTAATGACACCCTGCGCCTTGTGCTGGCTGGGGCGGGGGGCGGGGGCTGGCCCAGCCCGAGCTGTGGTTTCTTTTTCCATTGCGTCAGGCCCTGGGGTCCGGCCCACCGGCCCCGCTGCCGGGCTGGCACCCACGGCCACTCTGACCCCTTGCCTGCCCCAACTTCAGACATCATGTGCTCCCCATTTCGGGGATCCCGGAGCTTCCTGCCTGAGGGTGAGTGAGAGAGGAGGGACGGGTCCCCTCGGGGGGTGGGGGAGCGAGCCATCCCCTTTCTGCCCACTAGGAAGCAGGAGCTGCGCCCGTGGGAGGGAAAGCTCTGGGGAGCCGCGCTGTGGGGACAGGAAGTCATGTCCCAGAGCCACGTGACCAGACCCACGTGTGTTATGGGACAAGGACGTGAGCAAGGCTGGGCATTGGATCCCACCCTATCCCTCCGAAGGAGCCCGAGCCCAGGATGTGTCTAACACATGGTGGAGGGCCAGCAGTGGAGAGGTGGCAGCGGACTGGTGTCATGCAGGGCTGTGGCCAGGGGTGACCCCTAGAGAAGCTGGGGGGGGCAAGCACTTGCTTTGTCCCCCCCCAGCCCTGCAGCCGTGGTCATAGCCCCATCATCCTCTGAGTTCCAGCCCCCCTGGAACTCCCCTGTGGGTCCACACCATGCCCAGCCTGAGACCCTCCCTCCCCCCCCCCCCACCCCTGGTTTGTGCATGGCCTTTACCGAGATGTGGCCTTGTCTATGAAGCAGGGTAGTGAGCCTGCTGCCCGGCCCCTTGCTGCACCGGGGCTAGGCTGAGGCCTGGCCCCGCGCAGCACAGCGGTCTTCCTCCTGCACGCACACCCCCAGCTGGGCGCCGCCAGCCAGCGCACCGAGCACTGGCTGCTCTGGTGGAAACAGACAAGAATAAATCCCATAAGCAAACTGCAGCGCCTGCCCAGTGCTCCAGACTCGTATGATTATAATGTGGTTCTGGGGACACGGTTGGGGACCATGAATGGCTTCATCAGGACTCCCTCCCTGCCAGGCAGGCCCTGGGGCAGGAGAAAGGGGACCCACCTCAGGACCCAGCCAGGGCTGTTTCTTGGGGCCAGGGGGCAGGGGCTCCCACGTGACCGTGGTCCTTCCTGTGGGTGCCAGCAGCTGCGTCTTCTGCATGTGACAATCTGCTCTTCCCACGGCCATAGTTAGCTATTGAAAAGGCAAATCATGCCGGCCCTGGTGACGCACACCAAGCCCAATGACACACAGCCATCCCAGCTCTTGGGAGTGAGGCAGGAAGATCATGAGTTCAAGGTTAGCCTGGGCCACCTAGAAAGACCATATCTTAAGGGAGACAAAAGCAGATTGCTTCGTGCCTCTTAAGACGTGCCATGCGCTCAGCCTGGAGCCCAGCTTCCTGTCGTCCTGGGCCTGTCCCCGTCCCTGTCCGCAGCCCTCCCCGTGTTCCTCCAGAGAGGCTGTGCAAGGACTAGAATAAGACTGCCATCTTTCTATGGGATTCCCAGCCCACGCACAGAGCTTGAGACCTAGTAGATGCTCAGGATACACACAGGCCTCAGTTTGCTGCATGTTCACACTTGCTCCCGGGGGACATGCAGGGTCAGCCACCCTGTAGCAAGGGGACAGAATGTTGGATAGAGGAGCTGGAGCCTGACCCTCTCGGGACAGGGATGTGGGAACTGGACTTGTCCCCCATGTTGCATGCCCAGGCACCCATAGAGCGGAGATCTGATCGCCAGAGTCTTACTGGGGTGTGATGTCAGGAGGACGTTCAGGAAACGGAGGCGTAAGAAGCGATGGTGCTGGTCTGCAAGGCTTGTGATAGCAGGTGGGCGGGGAGAGGGGTAGACTCAGAGCCCCCCTCCACCTAGAGAGGGCTCCTCACCATCCCCAGAGAGAAACAGAAACCCCTACTGGGAGCAAATGCCTGTCGCCAGCCTGGGCAGGGGTTTGGGGGAGTCATGGATGAGTGGATGTGTTAGTTCACTGACTCATCTACGGAGTGAGGTGATGGGTTTTCAGTTCACTCATTTAGACGCTCATCCTTCTTCTATCCAATCAGTGTGTGCTGCAGCATCTTGCTCGCAAGTCACTGTGCCTGGGCAGGTGAGGGGCCACTATGCTAGACGGTGAGCCAGGCTAGGCTTTGGCTAAGTTACTGGAAATGAATTTCCCAGAGGCCAAAGCAATCACGGCCCTCTGAGCCACTGCACATCTACCGTGGCCACGGAACGCCACACATCACACAGCTACCATAGCCACAAAATGCCATACATCTCACAGCTGCCTTGGCTACCAAATATCACATCTACTTTGGCCATGGAATGCCACCCATGTCACACCTGCCAAAGCCACGGAATGCCACATGCTTCACATTAACCATGGCCATGGGATACCACACGTATTGGGAAGCCGGGGATCTGTGCCCTTCTTGTGGACAAGGACTTAACCAAAGCAGAGAAAAGCTCCAGCACTTCCTGGCCACGCCTCAGCCCTGTGTTTTTCCCATTCTTGTTCCTTCCAGCCTTGGCCCACGTTACTACCTCACCCCTCACCTTCTGTCTCTACTCTCTTATTTTATTTATTTACTTTTTGTGTGCCAGTTCTGGGACTTGAACTCAGAGCCTTGGTGCTGTCCTTTAGCTCTCTGTACTCATGACTACTGCTCTAACAGTTGAGCCCCAGCTCCATTTCTGGCTTTGGTGGTTAATTGGAGATAAAAGCCTCTTGGATATGCCTGCTGGCTTCAAGCCTTGCTTCTCAGATCGCAGCCTCCTGAGTAGCTAGGATTACAGGTGTGAACCACCAGTCCCCAGGTTCTTCCCACTTCTTGAAGGTCAGTGGGTGAGGCTTCCTGGCTGCAAGGTAGCGCAATGATGTGTGTCCCCTCCTGACCCTCCCTCCTCTCTCCCAGACTGCCAGGAGCTGCTGCTGCCCCCACCCACCCCCATGGCCTACATCCCGACCCCCTCAGCAGCGGGGGTTGCCCCCATGGGCTCCCAGTACTGCGTGTGCAAGGTGGAGCTGTCTGTGAGTGGCCAGAACCTGCTGGACCGGGACGTCACCTCCAAGTCTGACCCCTTCTGTGTCCTTTTCACAGAGAACAATGGCAGGTGGATGGAGGTGAGGCCCTCTGCGGGCATCTGTGGTGGAACAGGGGGGTCCATGGCTGGGCTGGGGGCTCCTTCGGGATCCAGGCAACCCTTGGAAGTAGGCGCGATGTGGGCTGGCAGAAGGGGATTCCTTAGAGAATCATTACTCTTACATTTTTCTTTTATGTATATTTAAGGGTGGGAGCATGGCTCAAGTGGTAGAGTGCCTGTTAGCAAGTGTCAGGACTCTGAGTACTGCAGGGGCTGGGAAGGTGGCTCAGTGGCAGGGTGCTTGCCTTGCATGCCTGAGGCCCTGGGTTCGATTCCTCAGCACCACATAAGCAAAATGAAAAAAAGCCGGAAGTGGCGCTGTAGCTCAAGTGGTAGAGTGCTAGCCTTGAGCTGAAGAGCTGAGAGACAGTGCCCAGGCCCAGAGTCCAGGCCCCATGACCGGACCAAAAAAAAAAAAAATCTGAGTACTGCAAAGAACATATATGTCTTTTAAGCATATTACTTAAAATAACTCTATGTCTAAATTATTGTCACGCAGAGGTGTATGTTTTATTTGTCATTTTATGTCACAATAGTTTTAGCATTATATTATATGATTAAAACTTTTGGGAAGCCCAGATGGCTCACACCTATAATCCTAGCTCCTCAAGAGACTGAGATCTGAGGATCACATTTCAAAGCCAGCCTGGGCAGGAACATCTGTGAGACTCTAATCTCCAATAAACCACTCAGAAAACCAGAAGTGGCGCTATGTTCAAGTGGTAGAGTACTGGCCTTGAGCTGAAAAGCTCAGGGACAGCACCCAGGCCCAGAGTTCAAGCCCCCCGACTGACAAAAAACAACAACAAAAAAAAACTTTTGGAGGCTAGAGTATAGCTTAAGTGATAGAGCTACTTGGTTAGTTAAGAAAAGCCTCAACTTAAAAAAATAAAAAAACTTAGCTGGGCACTGGTGGCTCATGCCTGTAATCCTAGCTACTCAGGAGGCTGAGATCTGAGGATCCCAGTTCAAAGCCAGCCTGGGCAGGAAAGACCGTGAGAGTCCTATCTCCAATAAACCACTAGAAAAACGGAAGTGGCGCTGTAGCTCAAGTGGTAGAGTGTTCACCTTGAGCTGAAAGTGGAAGGACACCACCCAAGCCCAGAGTTCAAGCCCCATGACAAAAAAAAAAACAAAAAACTTTCATAGTTTTGCAAAATGCTTACTAATTTGTGTGTGTGTGTGCGTGTGTGTGCGCGCGCGCGTGTGTGTGTGTGCGCGTGTGTGTGTGTGTGTGTGCGTGTGCGTGTGTGCGTGTGTGTGTGCGTGCGTGCGTGTGTGCGTGTGTGTGTGTGTGTGTGTGTGTGTGTAACAGCTGGGGGTTGAATTCAGGACCTAGGTGCTCTCTCTGAGCTTTTTCACTCAAGGCTGGTGCTCTACCACTTGAGCCACAGCTCCACTTTTGGCCTTTTGCTGGTTCATTAGAGATAAGAGTCTCACAGGCTTTCCTGTTCAGGTTGGCTTCAAACTTTGATGCTCAGATCTCAGCCTCCTGAGTAGCTAGGATTACATGTGTGAGCCACCGGCACCCAGTGCTCACTTCCACTCATAACCCCTTCTGACTTTATTTTGTAATGAGCACACAGTCCCCAAGAAAGGCAAACAGGAAACTTGGGCTTCTGCCTGGGAACTGGTTCAGGCCTAGCCATGCTACTTCCTGTGTGGCTTTAGGCAGATGGTTGCCCCTTTCTGAGCCTTCTCTTCACCTTTGAAATAGGGCTGATAGCAGAGGGCCCCAAAGCTGGGGACATTGCAAGGTGTCCCAGTCAAGGGCACCTAAGCTACAAGACTGGCCTGAGGGCTGGGCAGAGAGGCAGACCTACACTGCTCATACTGCCAGAGGTTAGGAGACTTGCTTCATTTCCCGGTCCAAAAGGAAACGACATCTGTTGTGGGAAGTTGAGAAAGTTCAGATGACCCTAGAGAAGGCAGTGGACATGTGTTGGTCACCTCTGAGGAGGAGCTCCTATTACCAGCTTAGGGTCCTGTCCAGTCTCCATGTGTGTAAAATTTCCAAGAGCCCCGGGCCATGGTGGGCAGCTAACTGAAGAGCTAAAGCTAGGCACTGGTGGCTCACACTATAGTCCTACCTGCTCTGGAGGCTGAGATCTGAGGATTGTGATTTGAAGCCAGCCCACAGAGAAGGCCGTGTAAGACTCTTATCTCCACTTAACCACTCAAAAAGAAAAGAAAAAGAAAAAGTCAAAAGTGGCGCTGTGGCTCAAAGTGGTAGAGCGCTACCCTTGAGTGGAAGAGCTCAGGGACAGCACTGAGGCCCTGAGTTCAAGCCCCATGACCAACAAAATGAAAAAGAAAAAAAGAAAGGAGCTGGGTTTGTTCGCCAAGGGGATCGAGCCCAGAGTGGGTAGAGTCTACCCTGGGCTACCTGGCATGAAGGCATACAGATGGAAGACAGACAGAGGGACCGCCCTGGCCTCTGGGGAGCACCCCAGGCCAGTTTAGGCGAGTCTGGAGCACAGTCCTCCCTACCAGGTCCGTGGAACTCCTGCACCCTCTTTGGGAATGAAATCTCCCTTTTTAGGGCTCACCTGGTCCCCCAGCCATCTGTGTGCCGCCCCCCCCTTCCCCAGCCCGGCCACCCTGGCTATAAATAGCACAGGCCAAGACCTCTTCCATCCCTGCCTTGGAAATGGCCCAGGTGAGAGGGAAAGTCAACACCGGCCGGGCCCCCAAAATAGACTGTCACCCACACTCCGTAGTTTGCGGCCTCAGGGTCCGGAGGTCAAGAGACAGGGTTTCTGTTCCGGTCAGTGCTGCCAGGTACCCACCCACAATACCTCCCAGCTTGGGGGTCTCCCACAGGGAGTGTGTCAGCTGTGGAAGGCCCTCATTCTATGTAAGATGTGAACATCTGGAGTGTGGTAACCCTGACCCTTCCCACCCTCCCCGCCTCCCGCACCCCTCCCTCCTATTTCTGTGTAAAATGTGTAGGAACAAAGAAAGGGCTTCAAAGGTATAAAGTGTTAAATCCTCCATTTTTACAGCAGTGGGAACTGGGGGGGGGGGGGGGGGGAGTTGTCTTCTTGTCACTGGCCCAGGCCAGGCCAGGGCCTGACCTCTAACCCTGGCACCAGGGAATGAAGCAGGGCTGTAACAGTCAGGCCTGGGTTTTGACATTTGGCTCTGCCGTTCAAGCTTGGGTACATCCCGTGACCTCTGTGTGCTTCTGTGTGGAAGGAAAAGGTGGACACTGACTCCTCTGCTTCCCTGCCCCCTGTGCCAGTACGACAGGACAGAAACGGCCATCAACAACCTCAACCCTGCCTTCTCCAAGAAGTTTGTCCTCGACTACCACTTCGAAGAGGTGCAGAAGCTCAAGTTCGCCCTGTTTGACCAGGACAAGTCCAGCACGCAGCTGGACGAGCATGACTTTCTGGGCCATTTCTCCTGTAGCCTGGGCACGGTCAGTCCAGCTCCTCCCTCGGGCAGGCGTGGGGCACTGCCCTCAGTCTCTCCCTGCTGGCTCCTTTTGTGTGGATGTGGATGGCCGGGGAGCCAATAGGCCCAGAGGGAATGTGGCTGGGTGGAGTGGAGCCAGGCTGAAGATCTGCTGGCAGCGGCAGCCATGCCCTGTGGCAGCCTGAGCAGGGATGCGGTGATTGGAAGTCATCAGGTGTGGGCTGGCTCAGCTCCACAGCGCCTACCTCATAGGTACAAAGTCCTAGGTTCCATCCCTAGTGATGTGAAATTCATCAGGTGTGGCCTTTTTGTTGTTCTTGTTTGTTTGTTTGTTGTGGGTCCTGGGGCTTGAACTCAGGGCCTGGGCACTGTTCCTGAACATCTTTTTTTTTTTGTCGGTTGTGGGGCATGAACTCCAGGCCTGGGTGCTGTCCCTCAGCTCTTCAGCTCAAGGCAAGTGCTCTACCGCTTGAGCCACAGCACCACTTCTGGTTTTCTAGTGGTTTCTTGGAGATAAGAGTCTCACAGACTTTCCTGCCCAGGCTGGCTTTGAACCAGGATCCTCAGATCTCAGCCTCCTCAGTAGCTAGGATTACAGGCATGAGCCACCAGCACCTGGCCTTCCTGAGCATCTTTGTGCTCAAGGATAGTGCTGTACCATTTGGCCACAGTGCTACTTCCTTCCGGCTTTTTCTGAGTAGTTTATTGGAGATAAGAGTCTCATGAACTTTCCTACCCAGCTGGCTTGGAACTAAGATCCTCAGATCTCAGCCCCCTGCGTAGTTAGGATTACAGGCATGAGCCACCAGCACCAGCTCAGGTATGGTCTTGGTGTCCTGCAGAAGGAACAACGAGACACCCATGCTTGCCGTCCCACCTACTGTGTGACCTTGAGTGCTTTTCTTTTCCTCTCTGAGCCACACTTCCCTATCCAGCTCAGTCCTGGGCTCTGATGCTGGAGTCTAAGCAGGACAGAGCCAGAAGCCCCCCACCCCAGTCTCAGTTCTTATGGCTTTGTCCCGTTTCTGTTTGTTTGTTTTGTTTTTTAGCGTTTTGGCTACTACTGGGATTTGAACTTAGAACCCTCCAATTGCTCAGTTTGCTTCACATGCCTAATGCTCTATCACTTGAGCCATGCCTCCAACTCAGCTTTTTGCTGATTAATAGGAGATGTCGTCTTGAGGCCTTTTCTTCTCAAGCTGGCTTTGTACTGTGATCCTCTAGAGCGTCTCTCAAAAGTAGCCAGGATTATAGGCATGAGTGGACTGGCAGCCAGCTGAATGCTCTTAGACAAGCCCTCACCTCCTTCTGGGCCTCCGTTTCCCCAAATTTCACTTCAAGATGATGATTGTAAGTCTGTCTAGCCTAGAGGAATGGTAAAGGAATGAAACAGAAGATTAGAAGCCAGATGTGTGGAATCACAGTTTGTAAGCCTATTATTTGGGAGGCTGAGGCAGGAGGATAGCAAGTTAGAGGCTAACCTGGCCTACATAGGTCTGAAGAAGAAAAAAACTAAAACGGTAATGCAGGCGGAGCAGGTCTTAAAGACATAGGTGGGGCAGGGAACCCACACGGGCCAGGACAGCAGCCCAGAGCTTGGTGCTAGGCAGGGCAGGGATGGACACACAGCCTCGGGCTGAAACAGCTGTGCGACTTTCCCTGAGCCACTGGCCCCAGCGTGTCTCCAGTTCTGTCTGCCCATCCCTGGCCAGGCCAGCCCTAGGCTGAGCCCCCCTCTGCCCTAGAGGACAGGGGAGCTGGTGATACAGTGTTTGGGGTACACTGTAGACTGGGTACCTTGTCATGAAGTGAGGTGCAGCGGACAGGCACACCCACAAAGGGCTTTTCAGTGGGTCTCTTCCGTGCACCCCTGGGTGCATGTGTTATCAGCTGGACATACGGAAACACATGGGAAACATCACAGTTTGCCCTGTGCGTGGGGGCTCCCACCGAGGCAGGCTGGGTCTGTGCATGTGCTGGGGAAGACCTTGTGGGGTGAGCCCTGCAGGGAGCTTTATCCAGAGAGCAAGCCAGGTCCGTGCCTGTTAGACTGCCAGACCTAGCTGTGGGACCCTGGGAGAGTGGCTTCCCTTCTCTGGGCTTTCCCAGCTTGGCAAATGCTGGTCACTGTGCCATTGTGCCCGGGATCCTGCACCTGCGGTTAAGCCAGTCTTGGCAAGAGGCAGCAGGTGGACTGGCTGTTAAGGATCCCCTGGGAGCCTTCCCCACCACCACCCTTCCCCCATTTCTTGTTTCCACCCACCCCCCCTCTTAGATTGTCTCCAGCAAGAAGATCACTCGGCCTCTGGTGCTGCTGAATGACAAGCCCGCAGGGAAGGGCATGATTACGGTATGGCTCCCCTTCCATCCCCCGCCTCTCCACCCGCCCTCCCCCATCAATGGGCTGCTCCTCTGGAAGATAATCACCAGCTTTGTTGGGAGTAAAAAGGCCCAACTTACAACTTAGCAACAGGTCTCTTAGCAACGGCTCCTGGCTCCACAAATACCGCGCTGGGGGCTGCCGTGCTGGGGGGCTGCCAGTCAGAAAGCCCCACACGCAGCAGTTCCTGGGTCAGGGGCCATCTTCTCATCCCAGGGGTCTCCAGCATCCTTCCAGCGCCCCCTCCCTGTACTGCCCCCTACCCCCCCGCCTTCCTCCCCTGGGCTTTCAGCAGCCTGGCACACACACACACACACACACACACACACACACACACACACACACGGGGCTCTGTTCGAGTATGTGATGCACAGTGATTTCAGCGATGCGCAATGATTTCCCCCTGGGATGCGCAGTGATCTCGGCCTTGCACAAGCCCTTCCTGCGGAGGATTGCCTCCTTCCTCAGAGCCCTAGAAAGCAGTCCTCCCCCACCCCCCCCGCCCTCCCCCGCCATTTCACAGATGAGGGCAGTGAGACCCGAAGAAGCCCCTGGGCACATCTCCCAAGGCAGCTGACCCCCGCAATGCGCAGTCTGTGTCTGTCTGCCCCTCCCTGGCCCATGCTGCCCAGGGCGGATGAGAGCCATGCAGGACCCCACCCTCCCCCACTTAGCTCTCATTCCTTTACTTCATGCCCTGGGTTCAAGGCAAACTGATTCCATCCATCCTGTCCCCTGAGCATCCTAGACTGTGTGCAAGGTGCCCAGCCTCCGTGCTAGGCCTCCTTTCTGGCCTCCTCTGGGAAATGGGGTGATGCTAGGTTCTGCCCTCCCATGAGGCCAGCTGGAGGACCGAAAGGGGAGAGGCTGTGATGCCTGAGGCAGAAGACTAGCTTGCCTTGGGAGGCCATCTTGGAGGCCGAGAAGTGAGAGGAAGCCCTAGCCAGGCTGAGAGGACTTCAGCCTGCTTGTGTTGCTGGAGGAGGGGGGTCAGGGCAGCCAGAGAGGACTGTTGGCAGCCTTCAGGTCACAGCCGGCTGGGCTGTGGTTAGAGGTCCATGGCTATGGAGAAGACAGGACAGATGGCCAGTGGATGGGACACCTCAGGGTGTTTAACTGGCTCGTGCCCTTGCTGGGGGCCTCATTTTCCCCAGCTGCACAGTGCAGATGCTGTAGCACTGGTCCCTTGGCCCTCTGAGGATGGTAGGGACTACAGAGGGAGCCTGGGGAGACTGTACTACACTCTACTCCCAAACCTCTCCCCACGGCTCAAGGACCTCCCTGCCCCCAATCTGGTCCCCGGGTCATCTCCCCCACACCCTAAGCCCCCTCTCTGAGCCACATGGAGTCGCTTCTAGTTGCTCATAGCTGGATGGGATTCTAGAAACTGGAAACCAAGATTTGAGGAAGCCCAGAGACCAGTCCACTTTCCTGCACCCCGTCCCCCTTCCAAGGCCAGACAGTTGGATCTGGGGCACCCTGCACCCACTATGCCTGGCTAGTTGAAGAGTGGGAGCAGCTGGCACCCCCTCACTACCCCCTACCTTACAGATTGCCGCCCAGGAGCTGTCAGACAACCGGGTCATCACTCTGAGCCTGGCAGGCAGGAAGCTGGACAAGAAGGTGAGCAGCATGGGAGGGCTTGTGTGGGAACAGGGGTCCCGTTCCTTGCCACAGATTAAACCAGGAGCCCTCTCGTCTCAGGACCTTCGCACTTACACTCAGTCTTTCGCTCTTCCTTAAACATTCTCATGATTCTCGTGGTGCCCTCTCTGATGCTCTTCCACACGACCTCTGACACCACATGACCTGCGACACCTCATGGAAATGGCAGCAGCCTTGGTCAGCCCGCCCTCCCACATTTCCATTTCTAATGGAGACTCTACTCATTTTGCTTTCCGTCTGCTCACTGGCATTTAACCTCTTTACAGGATTTCTAAAGGCCATCGATCCCGTCAGTAATTCCTTCAACAACATAGTTGTTATTTTCAGTCTCACTAAAATAAACTCCTGTCTGGGTAGCCTGGGCCTGTACTGGGGGTGGGGGTGGGGGCTGAGGTCCTTCTGTGCCATAGAGACTTCGGCTCCAGCACTCTTGGATTCTCAGGCTCAGCCGGGCTGCCGCTGCCCCAATCTCTTACCTAGCTTTACCGAGTCCAAAGGGAAGGAGCCAGGCTGGCCCAGCTGTGCAATGGGAGGTGTCCAGGCTACATCATGCCCAAGACAAGCCATGTGTGTCTCTTGCTCATGTCCTGTCTCCCCCCCAGGATCTCTTTGGGAAATCAGACCCGTTTCTGGAGTTTTACAAGCCAGGGGACGATGGCAAATGGATGCTGGTGCACAGGACTGAGGTGGGTGTGGGGCCTGGGCTATCACAGAGGGCCCCCATCTCTGCAGCCCCATCCTCACTGGGCCTGAGCGCAGTCCTGCCCCTCGCTGCCCCGCAGGTGATCAAGTACACACTGGACCCCGTGTGGAAGCCATTCACCGTGCCCCTGGTGTCCTTGTGCGACGGAGATTTGGAGAAGCCCATTCAGGTAATGGGCTCAGGGGCCTGCGCCTCGCCCTGCCCGAGATTTCACTAAGATAGCCCCCCTCTTGCAGGGTGGGCGTGGGAAGCTGGGTCCTGTGTTTCCCTGGTCAAGGTCTCCCAGAGCCCTGCTTCTACAATGCCCGTCCTTCCAGAAAGCCTGCGGCACTGCTGGCTGGGATTATAAAGACACACCTGCCCTGCAAGTATGGTCACAGGAGGACTGTGGCCACTGTCTCTCTAAAAAGATGGGGGTGTGGATGGTTCCAAAGCACTTGGGCCCTGGTCCCCGGATGATTGCTTGGTGCTGTTGAGGCTTTGGCCAGGTGTTTTGCTCTCTGAGCCCTCTGAGTACCTGTCAATAGGATGGGTGTAACAGTCTCTGCCTTCAGCCTCCCAGTATCATGGGTACTGAGCTCAGGTCTCTGTCACCATCTCTGCTAAGAAGAGCAGTCTAAGCTGGGTGATGGATGGCTCACACTGGTGATCCTAGCTACTCAGGAGGCTGAGATCTGAGGATTGTGGCTTATACTTATCTCTGGTTAAGGACCAAAAAGCTGGAAGTGGAGCTAAGCCTTGAATGAAAATGCTAAAGGACAGTGTCCAGGCCCTAAGTTCAAGCTCCAACGATGGCACAAAACAAATTGCTTTAAAAAATAAAAAAAAGCCAGCCTGAGCAGAAAGGTCATGTGACTTTTCTCCAAAAGTAGCCAGCACAAAGCTGACCTGGAGGCATGGTTCCAGTGATAGAATGCCCACCAAGAAAGCAAGCTGAGTGAGGCCCAAAGTTCAAAGCTAATAGGAGCCGGAGGATCCCAACCAGAGAGGACCAGGTCAGCGGCGTTGGGAGGTGAGCTCTGTGCACCTGGAGCCTCCTTCCTGGGTAGTCCAGAAAGGCTTCCTGTAGGAGGCATCGCTGGAGCCCCAAAGACATTGAGACAGATGCTAGGGTTTTCTCGAGGTCCTGACACAGGACAGCCCCGAGGTGACCATGCTGGGCCCACCCAGGTCATGTGCTACGACTATGACAATGATGGTGGCCACGACTTCATCGGTGAGTTCCAGACTTCCGTGTTGCAGATGAGTGAGGCTCGCGACGGCGTCCCGGTGAGCTGTGGGCCCCTGTCAGCCACCTCTGGGGCCCCGGGGCTCTGAGTCAGGCCCACGGGGGTTTAAATCCTGCCTCTTCCTGATCAGTTCTCACGGTGCCTGGGCCTCAGTTTCTCCGTCTGTCTGGGGGGCAGAGGTGTAGGGCGGGGTGAAGTGAGATGGAGCAGGCCTGGCCTGTGGCCTATAGTCACAGCTGTTCCTAAGCCCAAGGTCAGGCCCTGGGCTCTGGAGGGCAGTTGCGAGTCTCCTGCCGTGTCGGGCACGGGGCCAGCTGTCCCGTGTCATGGCAGGGATGGAGACTTGGGAGGGTTTGTGGGGGCCTGACCCCACTCAGCCGCAGCTGAGCCTCTCTCCGCTCCGGTGGCAGCTGGAGTTGGAGTGCATCAACCCCAAGAAGCAGAGGAAGAAGAAGAGCTACAGAAACTCTGGTGTGATCATTTTGCGCTCCTGCAAGGTGAGTGGCGGGAACACTGCGGATGGGCATCCTACAGAGCTTGCATCAGTGAGGCCTGGCATCAGATCTGCCCCTGCCATGCATTGGCTCACTGAGCCTCCGTCTCCACATCTGTAAGAGTGGGTAGGTGAGCAAGATAGAGCGTGTATGATTCACCTCATATTCCGTCTATCCTTGGTTGCAAGTTGTTAGCAGCCACCGCTGCCCATGCTGGTGGCTTACTCAGTGCATGCTGGGCATTGGTGGGCAGGGGACCAGGGATGGGGCACTTTCTTCCCTAACATCAGTGAGGCCCAGGCAGCTGTGGTCCCCAAGATATAGCTGGGCCACTGAGGCCTAGAATGCAGCAGAGCTCACAGCAGAAATGGCCACGCTGTTGTCATGGATAGGTGGTGGTCACCTACCTGCTGGACAGGTAAGACGTTAGGGCAAGAGCCCTGGGCTAGACAGCAAGAGCCTGGGCTTGGGTATAAGGTAAGGTACGGGGCTTGTGTGGCACTGCTTTCTCAGAGGCCAGTCAGGCCCTGATGTCCATTTCTAGTCGGGACGCCCGCTGTCATGGGATCGTCACCACGCTTCAGTGGCAGTGCCACAAAAATGCATGCTGCAGAGACCAGGCACCATTTCTGTCCTCATTTCCCACATCACTCCATCACTCCTCTCCTTTTTTCCTGCTCAGCCTTTCCCTCTCCCCCATTAATGTCCGTGGGAGAAAGCATCCAACTCCACTGAAATGGAAAGGCCAGTGCACCCGTGCCAGGAGGAGGCAAGGCCAGCCAAACGGATGCAGTCAGGAACAACTTCATTAACTCATGAGGAGGCCATGGCCCCAGGCCAGGACTCCTGTTTAGACAGCATTTAGGGCTGGGAGGAGGTTAGGGACCAGACAACACTAAGGGAAGGAGACTTGCACCATGGGGTAATTGATTAATGCTGGCACCAGGACCCTGCCTGGATCTGTGTGTCTGTACATGCGTGCACACACACACACACACACACACACACACACACATTCATGCTAGTATCCCTGCCCACTGACAACTGTCTTCTGAGGCCTTTATTGCCAAGAACTCTGGGATTTGTTATAATTTGATCAATCTCCTCTGCTGATTTTGGCCTCCTGGTGGCTACCAACGTGGGGACATTGAGTGACACTTCCCTGAGGGCATGGGTGACCAATGTGACCCACTGAGTTCTACTTCTTCCAGATTCACCGAGACTACTCCTTCCTGGACTACATCCTGGGTGGCTGCCAGCTCATGTTCACCGTAAGTCCTTTCTCCCCAGCCTCCCGGGGACTTAGGCTTTATTGCCACAGAAGGGATTTGAGCTAAACCTCAGGAAGGACTTTGCAGGGGCAACAACATGTCTGGCCCCAGAAGAGAGGGCACAGGTGGCTTGGGTTTGGGGTGAGGATCTGGGAGAGGTTCAGTGGGGCAGAGGCAGCTTAATAGAGCCAGGAAAAAGGATTAGGGGAAAAAAAGCTGGCCCAGGTCTTCAGGCCCAGGAAGCCTTACAGATAAAGATAAAGGTCTGGGAACAGGAATAGTTGAAAGGGTGGGTAGATGATAGTGAGGAGACCAAGGAGCCAGAGGCTATGAATTTGTCTAGTATCACACCTGGGCAGTAGACTGTATGTTTGGGCAGGAGGGAGCTATGGATGGTGTTAGAGCCCAAGAGTGATAGAATCAGACACTTCTGGCTTCTGGCCATGTTATATAGAGGCTTGGGGCTTGGAGACCAGTGGTGTTCCTGGGTCCCTTCAGCCTCTTCCCAGCAGCCATGCTGAGTGGCCTTTCTCCCTACTCCACAGGTGGGAATAGACTTCACAGCCTCCAATGGGAATCCCCTCGACCCTTCTTCTCTGCACTATATCAACCCCATGGGCACCAACGAATACCTGTCAGCCATCTGGGCGGTGGGGCAGATCATCCAGGATTACGACAGGTAAGCTCGGAGAGGACTCTGCCGGTCTGTTATTTTCCTGTAGCCTGGGGAGCTGGCTTGCCACCTGTGGACCCTGGTGTTGCTGCTGTATAGACTCCTCTGTTCACTGACCAGTCAGGCCCTTCATTTGGCCATCAAATAGGTATTCCAACATGGCCAGGCCCTGGTGAGCTCAAGGCACTGAGTTTGAGCCACCATCACCTTCCACCGAGCTCATTTAAGCTACCTTCTTACTGGTCTGTCTCCCTTGCTCTACACTGACAGCTTCATGACAACCCTCCAGGAGCCTAACTAAAAGAAGGAGGGAGAAGAAAGCATTGGAGTTCTTTGAGTCATGTTTACATGACTCAATAAGAGACATTTAATGGGGTCTAGGGGCTCATCAATAGCCCATAGAGAGAAGGGGCCATTTCAGCTGGGTTTTAGAAGACAAATAGGAGTTTGCTAAGAGGGAAAAGATTGGGGACAGGTGGGACACAGCCAAATTGAGGTTGAGACAAGGAAGCATCCTATTGTGTGTGAAGAACTGCAAATGATCACTGGCCAGGGCTGGGGGACAGAGAGGGGACAGGCAGGCTCTGGGGCCAGATAGTGGATGATCCTGATTGCTAAAGCAGAGTTCTTATTTTAGGAGCATTTTCCTCAGCCATAAACATGACCTTGGCTTAGTGGCTGCTCAAGGTCTTAGTCTGAGAAGGATCTAGTAAGCTGTATCCAGGCACTGGTTAGCAGTGCTGTTGTTGATTAGCAATGTCTGCCATGGGCAGAGTCTGGGTTCAGTGGAAATTTTGTTGTTGTTGTTATTGTTGTTAACAGCTTTTCCTTCAGGGACCAGCTTTTTCTCTGTCGATGGAGGTATACAGGCAGGGACGTGGTCAGGGGCCAGGATGGGAGAATGTGGGTGGTTAGAGGCCCATGTCCAGATGCGTCAGCCTGTTTTTCTTTCCGCTCTGTGACTAGTGACAAGATGTTTCCAGCTCTAGGATTTGGGGCCCAGTTACCACCAGACTGGAAGGTGAGTGAAGCTGGACTTCGTTTTCTTCTAGTTGCAAAGGGTGTGTGTGTGTGTGTGTGTGTGTGTGTGTGTGTGTGTGTGTGTGTGTGTGTGTGTGTGTGTGTGTGTGTGTGTATCTTCCCCAGGATCTGCTTTGGGAAGGTCTTGGGTAGGAGGCCCAGTGTTCAGTCTGCAGAGCCCATTCATGTCTTAGGCCTGGACTGCATGCAGGTACCGAGGCTTCCTGCTCTTTGAAGCCTGTGTTGAACAGGGATGATAGACAGAGCGGCCACATTTGGCAAGTAACCATATAGGATGCCTACTGCAGTTTTCATGTAACATGAGGATCAATTTCTTTTTCTTTTTTTTTTTCTTTTGTTGGTTGTGGGGCTTGAATTCTGGACCTGGGCGCTGTCCCTTAGCTCTTCAGCTCAAGGCTAGCACTCTACCACTTGAGCCACAGTGCCACTTTCATTTTTTCTGATGGGTTATTGGAGATTAGAGTCTCACAGACTTTCCTGCCCAGGCTGGCTTTGAACCTCGATCCTCAGATCTCAGCCTCCTGAGTAGCTAGGATTACAGGCGTGAGCCACCAGCACCCAGCTGAGCATCAATTTCTTAAGCATAACAATGTGCTGTATATTGGGGGGCATACTTGGGCATACTTTACTGGAAATCACCCATACTGTTCATCTGAGATTCAGTGTAACCATGCTTCTGTACCCTGTCTAGTGTCCCTAAAGGCAGACAATGTCACAGAGGCTGACATGGGACAGCGTAGGCCTGGGGACAGAGAGCCCAGGGGAAGGGATCCAGCCCGGCCTAGGGGATGAGGGAAAGCTTCCTGGAGGATTCAGTCCAAACCATACGGGGGGAAGGGAGGCAGGGATTTGCAGAGCAACACGGAGGCAATGAAGCAGAGGCCCAGAGGCTCTTCTGGAGCAGGGAAGTCTGACAGAAGCTGGGTGATGGACCTAGCATTGGCAATGGGAAGAGGGCGGAGTTTATGTGCAGTAGGGCCACTGTGGGAGCTGCGTAGGTGTCTTAATCAGGGTGTTGAGTAGAACCTGGCTGGTGAAGGCAGGGAGGGAGGGTGGAGGCAAGGGCTGTGGTGGGGAGGGAAGGACAGGGCTGGCTGGGTGCTGGCTGTGGGGCCACCAGGTTTCTGGGCATTTGGCGGCAGGTACCCTGGTGGAATGGGGAAGTAGGGGAGGCAGGTTATACAGGGGAGATGGAAAGGAGGGAGGCGCAAGAGAGAGGCAGACGATGTTTTAGGAGCTCTGAGAAGATGGATGGACTCTGGCCACTGGTGAGAAGCAGCCAAGCTGGGGATGGGGCATGGAACCAGGGGAGCAGAGTAAGGAGGAGAAGAGGCAGCATGAAGCCATGGAAAGCAAACAGCGAAGAAGCAGTGTTCGTGGGGCACTTGGAAGGTGCTGGATACATTTTCGTGGGCTCTGTTCCCCCATTCTACCTGGAGGGACTGTGGAGCCAGGTTTCAGTGAGACAGAGTGGCCATGGGTTTGAGGCCACCTGCAGGCTGGGCCCTGAGACCCTTGAGAGCAAATGGTATACCTGGCTGGTTGGAGAGGCCCAAGCCTAGCTAGATACTAGTAAGAGAGCAGGAAGGACAGGCAGGCAGATGCCCAGAAGGGGTCAGGAGAAAAAGGTAGAGGTGAGTAGAGGGGTGGCTAGGGATGGGTGTGGGAGGGCCGGGGCACGAGGCAGGCAAGGTTTCATATAACCCGGGGCTGCATGGAGGCTCCAGTGAGAAGCCAATGGGATGGAGCTGTGGGGCTGGAGAGCCACAGCCTCAGAGACATACCGTGACTTCCCAAGGTCACCTTGGGAAGGTCATAGGGGCCCGGATTCCAGGTAGGCAGATGGACTCGGGGATTCTCCTCTGAACCCAGGCCTGCCTCTCTGATGAGTAGCTGCAAGGGGCGAGGGATGTCTGTCACAGCCAGTGTCCCTGCCACTTGTCTGTCCCGCTTCGTCCTTTCCTGAACAAGCCATGGCTTCCCTCCATCTCCCCCGGTCCTTTCTGGGGAGCACTGTGTTCACTTACAGGGCCAGGGCCAGGGAGGTGAGTGGCCTAGCCCCATGTGGTTGGAGGCCCAAACCTGGAGGGCCCACACCAGGCCTCTGGGCCTACATGGATGCCATGTGGGGGGCAGGGCGAGCTGGCAGCCGGGCCCAGCACGAGCCTGTTGCTAGGACACCAGCTAGCTTTCAAAGAACTCAGCTGAATGAGATGTTTTCTTGAGCAAAAGCCTCTTTGGAAATGTCACAGGGCAACTCTGGGGAGGTGGGGCTTGGCCAGGCCAAAGGCCCAGTAGTGCCAAGCAGGACATTGGAACCAACTAGGAGATGCCAGATGCCCTGTCCCTCCTTCCCTGCGGCCAGAACCTGTCAGGCCTAGCCCTCTCTGCATTTGGCTTGCCTCATTCCTGTCCTACAAACAAGCTATCCCTCCCTCCCTCCTTCCCTCCCTCCCTCCCTCCCTCCTTTCCTCCGTCTCTCCCTCCCTTCCTTCCTTTCCCTTTTCTTTCCTTCTCCTCCCCTACTTCTACCACAGAGCCTTTGCACATGACCTTCACTCAGCCTATTGTCCCCCTTCCCTTCCCCCCGGCTTCTCATCTAACTTCTCCTTCTCCCTGGGAGTTTTGCCCTGTCCATGCTCACATGGGGGGCTCCTCCCTGCCTGGGCACTGTCCTGGTGGCCTTTGGGAAGATACTTGGTCTCCTCATTGTTGTGGCACCTGGCACAGAGTAGGTATGCAGTCCTTACCAGTGGACTGAGAAGATCTTAGCAGTGCTTAGACCCTCTGGCTACTCAGAAGAGAAGGAAGTGATGTAGCAGGTTTGGTTTTCCCATGAAGTGAGTGTAGGGTGTGTGTGTGTGTGTGTGTGAGAAAGCCCTCGAGGGGACTCAATCTGGTAGTGGCTGGGAGCAGGGCTGATTTTGGGGTGAGGGCTGCAGCTCAGCACCTGCTCTGCATTGCAGGTCTCCCATGAGTTTGCCATCAACTTCAACCCCACCAACCCTTTCTGCTCAGGTGAGTGTGGCCCCCACCATCTCCCTGGGTAGAGGGAGGGGTCGGGCACAGGTTGCTGTTCCTTTCTTTGGCCCCCTTGCTCAGAGTGACAGGTGGAGGGCGAGCTAGAGTTTGGAGTCAGGCCATGCTGAATTTAAGCAGAGCTGCTGCAGGTATGCAGTCCTGGCTATGGGGTCTTGGGGAAGTCACTAGCCTTGCCCCTTTCCTCCCGGGGCTTGCTTTGCTCTTCCCTGGTGGCTGGGTGAGAGCTAGAGGAAGAGGTTGGCTTAGGCCCTGTGTATACCAGGAATAGGAGAGGGGCCAGTTACACCTCTTTCTTGCTGGCCCAGCATGGATTGGCCTGACTGGATGTAAGGGGAGGGCCTGGGCTCATCTGACCCCAGGTGAGGGGGATTGCACATGGACTGTGAGAGGAGGAGTAGGGCTGGGAACCCACACCTGGGACCTTTCAGCCTGGGATGCGGCTTGGGCCTAGCAACCATCTTCCCTGGAGGACCCAAGCCTGAGCTAGACTTGATTCCAAAGGGAAATCAATCAGGTCACCAGCTTAGGCGGCAGCTTGGCAACCATGGAATCTCCTGGCCAAGCAGTGTGGCCCTGTGCCCCTGCTGGTGGCACAAATATCTCCAGTGGGTCCACTTCACTGGGCCACAGCCCCTGGGCAGAAACACAGGGCAGATAGATGTTTGAGGGCCTGGAGCAGCAACTATTTCGAATACATAGTATGTCAGGGCTAGGCTAACTACAGGACCCCCACCCTGAGCAGATGCCTCCGTGTCCACCATGGACTTCCAGGTGGCTACCACATCACCTCAGACTTGGCCAAGCAGAGAATGGGTACAGCACTGAGGGTGGGGGCTGATGCAGATTCCTCTCTGCGGCAGGCGTGGATGGCATCGCCCAGGCATACTCTGCCTGCTTGCCCCACATCCGATTCTACGGTCCCACCAACTTCTCCCCCATCGTCAACCACGTGGCCCGCTTTGCAGCCCAGGCCACGCAGCAGCAGACAGCCACGGTAAGTAGCCACAGGTATATGTGCATGCTGGCATTGGGCTGCTGGTGGCCAGGCACCCTACCAGGCACTGCCACAGGGCTGGTGAGCAGGACAGTCCACGTCCCCTGGCCCTAAATCCAGGTGAGATGCTGCTTGTCTCTGTTCACTTGTGTTGTAAGGGTTTGAACCAAACTTGGATTCCTGGAGCTACGTGGGAAGGAAATTTCATTGGTGCGTGGTAGGATGTAGGCCTGTGACCCAGGGAGATGCCTCCTCCCCTCTTCTCCCCGCCCCCCCCCCCCACCGCCCCAATCAGGACAGAGAACTCTCCCAGGACAATGGTCACCAGGAGTCTGTGGTCCCTGTGGTCTTGGAGCTGACCTTTTTGACCCCAGGCCCAATTAGAGGCTCACCTGCCTCACAGGAAGGCGAAGGAATTGCCTGGCCCTGGCCTGGTGCTTGCTGTCCAGGCCCTGGCCTCACTGGCAGGGCTGAGGCTGCCAAGGCTGCCGCATGGTCTGGGTTCCTGGCTCTCTCCCTTCCTCACCCATGCAGTTGAACCCAGCCAGGCACACCTCACCAGCAGGGCCGGAGGCTAGGTTATTCACCCTCCCACTACCCAGATGGAGTTCAGGGAACGGTGTCGCAGGAGAGAGGGAACGGCAAGTAGGAGTCCTGAGGTAGGGGCTGGTGGACTCCACTGTGAACGTGACATGCCCTTTTGCTCAGTGGAAGGACCCAGTGCTTCTCTTCAGGGACAATCAGGACAGGCCCTGACCATGGCCCCCGAGACATGATCAAGTCCTTTCCGCATGCTTTAAGTCAGCTTCCTCTTATAAAATGAGAATGCTGCCCACTGAATGGTCTGATGACCAGAGCCACCCCAATGGCCAGTAATGGAGGCCTGGGAAGGTCATTGTGTTTGGTTCATGGTAGTCCTGGGGTTGAATTCATTGGCAATGGACAGGGTGTTAGCTTTATCCCCTTCCATGAGCTGCTAGCCGTGGCCCATCTCTTGGTGTCATCTGAGAGATGGGAGAGAGGCTTGCCTTTTTTTTTCTCCCAGGGAAAACCCACTCTCATAAAGGGCAGGAGTTAGGCCAGCGCTCTTGGGGCTCCTCTGCCAGCTGAGGTTAGACTAGGTGGGCTGGGGTCCTGAGGAAGGTGGGCCACACCTGGACCCTGTGTCTGGAGAGGCTGGGGCTCAGGGAAGCCCTAAGGATGCTTGTGTTCTGGGAACAGGACGAAAAGACTGAATTCAGAGTAGAACTAGGCCCTTCTGCTGAGCAGAAGGGTGTGAGGACCACGCTAGGCCTCCTGCTCCCTGTCCCGCTTCCCCTGGGTAAGTTGTGTGGCCCTCTGCCCTGAGGTCCAGGAGTGGACATGGCCATCTCCTCCTGTCTTGTTACTCCGGTCTCAGGACAGAGCAAAGGAGGGGCCTGGGGCCACCCAGTTTCCCCACCCCACACTCTGGGGAGCTTGCCTTATCTCCCCCACTTCCTGGCTATGTGGCCAGGACAGGCAGCGTAAGCTCTCTGAATTTGATTCTCCTCACCTGGACAACAGTCCCTGCTTTCTAGAAGCAATGTGAGGACTCAGCTCGGTGGGTGTATAGCTTGTGAGAAGTGCTTGCTAGTAGGGAATTTTCTTTTTTTTTTTTTTGGGGGGTGCTAGGAGTAGCACTGTTAGGTCCACAGCAAAGGAAGCAATTTGTGACTGATGATTTTGTTCAGCTGTGTGTGTGTGTGTGTGTGTGTGTGTGGTGTTTTGTTGTGGGGGGGGGGGGGCGTTGGGGAGGAGTCTTTGGTGTAGCTTCATTCTCCCTGTTCCCAGACATATGTGCATACATGCCTCACTCCCACATACAGGAAACGGAGAGCAGGTGGTGGAGTCTCTCTAGGCAGGCCCACTCTCCCATTCATTCGCTCTGGGTGTCTTCCTCAGTATGGCCCTACACCATGCTAGGAAGGCAGTGGGTGCCCTGCACAGGCAAAGCAGGGAGGGGACAGGTCAGCGGGCACTGGCAGCGATACCACGGGACTGGCCTGTGATGGAGATAGTACAGGTCCACAGTAGTGTCCTCAACCAACAGGGGGTCTGGGGAACACGGGGCCATGGGGGTGAGGGTGTCCTGAGAATTACCCCTTAGAGGATGTGTGCATGCAGAGTGGTCCAAGCAGTGGCCACGCGTGGCCAGGCCTGGGGCTTGGTGTGTGCTGTATGAGGGCTGTGGGAGGTAGGACCAGCTCCTGCCAGACCTCAGGAGCCATTGGGGCTGGGGACCTACTGAGGGCAAAAGAGAGCCACAGGAGGGTTCCAAGCAGGTTCAGCTAGCCTAGGAGACACCCATCATGGCTCGGTATCCTTTCCTCTGTTTTGGGACGCCCAGGCCTGCTGCGCATGGCCCATTCCTGGTTGGTGTCCCCACCAAGAGGGAGCCAGGAAGCCAGCGGCACCCTGGGAGTTTCCTTCACTCCCATCCCTCAGGGCCAAGTTCTCAGAAATGAGTGTGGTGAGTGCAGCTTTCTCAGTACCTGGAACTGCTGTGGGTTGGTCAATTTGTTCTAAATCAAACGCAAGTGAAATGCATTAGGTTGTTTACAACCCTAGAAGCCCAGAGACAGGCAAGAGCGGGTCCATCCCAAAGTGTGTGGGAGGCTGAGTTTGAGATTTCTGTTTCTGGGCCTGGATGGGATGCCAGACTGGTGAGATGCAGTGTCAGGGGCTGTCCGGGCTGTGTGGGGGAGAGGAGTGTGCAGAGGGTTCTTGCTTGGAGTCCTAGCTGGCAGTGGAAGCAGAGTTCACATCTGCTGGGGATGGAGAATCCACACTCTGGTGGACTTGGAGTTGTGGCTGGGAAGGAAGGAGCAGAGACAGGTCATGTTGGGTGCTGGGTAGCCCGGGGCTGTCTGTGGGGATTGCAGCGCCCCCTCCTGCCTGATTCTGCCCCGTTCTGCTATCCATAACCCTCTAGTCCTTCTAATCTGCCCTGGGGTGGTAATGGATTGTTGAGACTCCAGGGTGGCCAGCTCTGCCCAGGCTGGGCCAGAAGCCCAGGACCTGCCAGCTACGCTCCTCACTGACCACAGGAGTGAGGGCTCACAGCTAGGGCCAGCCTCTGATACCTGCTCAAGATGGCTCTCCCGGTCAGCTCAGAAACAGGGTACTGGTGGGGGGAGAGAAGAGACTTACCCCGCCAGGATCACAATGACAGGTCTTATTAGTACAGTGGGTGAAGAGGAGGATGTCATAGGAGAGCCCCAACTTTGGAGTTAGCCTGACTTAGCTTTGAACCTGGACTGTGTCAGGTCCCTGTTAGGCCTTAACAAGTCACACAGTGGTCTCTGAGTCCATCTCTAAAATGGGACTCAGCCTGTAGCTGACAGGGAATGTCTGCGTTTGACTCCTCGGCCTGTCTGCTGGGACCCACCGCTTGCAGGAACTGGGTCCTCACCGATCCCTGGGGAGGAAGGCTGTGGGCTGATTGACATGGGAGCTAGGGCAGGGTATGTGGGGGGGGGGGGCATGGGTGAGGGGGAAGGGGCTGGACAGCAGGCCCTTTCCTCACTGGAGCAGCCAGTTAGTCAAAGGCCAGGATTCCTCCTTGTGCTCTCCCTGCTGCCAGCCCCAGGAACATTTCTCTGGACAATTTGTGGTGGGGTCAAAGGGTCTCCTAGGGGAACAGTGGTGGGGAAGAGGAACAGGGTCTATCTGGGCTTCTCAAGTTCATGAAGCCTGGGATGAAGGCTGGCAGTAGCTCTCCACTGCAGGATTTGGGCTACCATCTCCATGGCAACAGGTATCCCCAGCCAAAGGATTGGTCTCTTAAAGGTACAGTGCTGTCTAGAGCTGGGGGTGAGAAAGGGGTAAGGTGTATGTCTCCACTGGCACAGCCCACTCCTTCCCTCCCCGCTAGGACACACAGGACACAAGGCACCCTGGGGGTGGATCTGGAAGGTTCTGCAAGTTCCCCAGGGAGCTGCTCTGCTAGGTGTAAAGGTGGCTCAGAACCAACCTGGTCACTTCTGGTGACCAGGACTAGTCAGGGCTGTAGTATTCTGAAGGCAGAGACCTCAACAGTGAAGTGCAGCCCCACAAGCCTGAGCTGGAGAAGAGAACAGAGTCCCCTGAGCAGGGCAACAGGGGGCCTGGAACAGAGATGAGTTGAAAATGAGGTGCCAGGCTTGGAATTTTCTGGGCCCGCTTCCTGAACTGAATATTCACCTTCCTACCTGTCACAGTTTGTACTTTACCCCCACATCACCCACGCTAATTATTCAGTATTTTTTTTTTACCAAAATAATTTAGAACTATTCTACTATATATGAATGATCGGCAGCGTCACTCACCATGAGTGGGGAGGGAGGTAAACGTAAAAGTAAACACAGCAAACACACAGTGTTAGGTAATGGCCAGAGCTCACTGCCATCGTTAGCCCTGAATTTCTTGCCTTCTGGAGGCCAGCGAAGGTAAGAGAGGGTAAGACACTGGCACGCTGCCAGGGCTGTCTCCTGGACAGTGCATAGAAAGGGAAGACCATACCGGACCAGTCCTTCCCACCCCACCCCCTGACGGTCAATGCCAAGGCTGGGATGTTACCCAGACGCACTTAAACTCACAAGTGCTGGCCCAGATGACCTGCTCCCAGCCCCTGCAGCTATCTACCTCTCCTGCTGTGTTGAGCAGGGAAAGAATGGGATACAGATTCTCCTGCCCAGGGGGAGCAGGAATGGGGAGGCTTGCCCCAGAGTCTCTCAGTAAAATAAATTCCTGCACAAGCCAGAGCCTGTCAGGAATGCCATGGACTGCTGCCACGTGCTAGGCACAGCATGGCTTTGAGCAGCGTTCCCATCATGCAGATGGAGACACTGAGGCCCAGTGACTGAGGCCCAGTTGCCCAAGTGTAGCAACTCACAGAGGCAGCCCTGAACCTGGGGCTCAGATGCCGGAACAGGGGAGGAGGGGAGGCCCGTGTTGCTACACAGGCCAGGAGGAGAGGCACTTGGCTTGCTCAGTGCTGGGTGGCCCTTCCCTGCAGCAGTACTTCATCCTCCTCATCATCACGGACGGCGTCATCAGCGACATGGAGGAGACAAGGCATGCCGTGGTGCAGGCATCCAAGCTGCCCATGTCCATCATCATCGTGGGCGTGGGCAACGCAGACTTCGCTGCCATGGAATTCCTGGATGGAGACAGCCGCAGGCTGCGCTCCCACACGGGCGAGGAGGCAGCCCGTGACATCGTGCAGTTTGTGCCCTTCCGGGAGTTCCGAAACGTGAGTGTGGGTCTGGGCCAGGAGGGGCAGTCACAGGACCGAGCAGCCAAGGCTCACAGTCAAGGTGGCTGGGGTGGGGGGGGTGGGGGGGGTGAGCTTGTCTGGCTCAGCCTTAGACCTTGCATCTTCAGACCCACTGGCTTCCTGGAGAACTATGAGATTATGAGTTGCTGGGTGCTGTGCCTGGCCTTGCCCCAAAGCCATGGTGCCACTGTGAGCTCTTGCCACAGCTGAGGGAGCATGGGAGCAAGCAGTATTCAATCTAGACTGGCACCCTAGAGGCAAAGCATTTGAGGCAGAGGAATGAGGGCAAAGGTCCCATAGGTGAGAGGCTTCCCTGCCCATTACGCTCAACCAGCCCTTCATTCTGCGTATGGAAAGATGGAGGGCCTCTCAGCCTCTTCCCAAAAGCCCCTGTAGGAGGGACTCATGACCTTCCTATCTTGTTGCTCGAGTTGGCTCTGGCATCGTCCAGCGCCCCCCCCCCCCTCAGGTCCTCCCATAAGAAAAGGGGGTTGGCTGCAGGACTTGTGAGGAGCTTCAGAGGGGATCAGGGTCTCAGATGCTGCCTGTGCCCAGCCATGCTACTGCCCTCTTGAGACCAGTGGCTTATTGCATGGCCCTTGCAAGCTCTGAGCTCAGGGGTCCCGAGTGGACTTCACTTGGTCACTTCCTGTCTCCCAGCAGCCTCTGGGTTTGCCGAGGTGGTGCTTTATCTCAGGAAGTGGTGGCTTCCTGGGGCCCAGTGCTGGGCACGGGTTACTGGCTGGTGCACAGGACAGTCTCACGTGACTGGAAACCAGTCCTATCACTCATAGCCAAAGAGGTGCGCAGGCGATGCCTGCCAGCCGATTAGGCTGTGCAGCTCTCTCTTTGCCCTAAAAGCTTCCCACTGACAAACTCATCCTAAAATGTTATTTCTGGGCATCTGCAGCACACAAGGTAAGAGTTCTCGTCAAGGAAGCCGCTGCTTGCAGTGGGGATTGGGCATGCACTGGGCCTCCCCACATTGGTCCTCTCTAGTGCCCTGTCCCTGTGCTCTGTGGACATGGTGTCCTTCCCAGTTCTCATTCACTCTCCTCTCTCCTCCCCACCCCACCCTCAACCCCGTAGGCAGCAAAGGAGACCCTGGCCAAAGCTGTGCTGGCGGAGCTGCCCCAACAAGTTGTACAGTATTTCAAACACAAAAACCTGGCCCCCACGAACTCGGAGCCTGCCTGAGCCTGTGCCCAGCAGCACCCACCCTTCCCAGCCGTGCACGCTCACCCTGCTTCCTCGTGGGTGGCCTTTTCTACCAATCCACATTCTTATTTTTTACAATGGAGCCTCCACCCCACCCCCTACCTTCCCCCTGCGCAGCCCAGCTCCCGGTGTCCAAGTCAACCCCTGATGTTTCCAGGCCAAACTTCCCCCTCCCCTTAAGTATTGAATGTACTTTGTATAATTCTCGTGGAATTGTTATTCAAGATAATAAAGTTTTTACAATCATTAACTGGCCTTTTCTAAGTAACTAGCTGTAGAAAGGAATATGTCCCCAGTCAATACTTTATGTAGTGGCAGGCACTCAATTTCTGATGTGTTTTTATATTGTGTTCTATTTGTTACATTCAGAATAATAAAGGAGTTTGCGATGTCCCTGCGTTTACCAGCTCCTTCTTCAGCCAGGACCCTAAGGGCTCAGTGATCCAGAAAAAGTGCAACCAGAATTCCTCTCCCTACCTAGCACCCCTGCAGGAATTGGGGTGTTCTGTGTGGGGACTCCATGAAATGAGTGGACACGGTACACTGAACACACATGCAGGCCCATGCCATGTCTCTAGTGTACCTGACCTTCTGCCCGCTTTCTCTGGGCCCACTCTCACATTTCTCCTGCCACTTACTCTCTCCTCCTCTTGAGACTGCTGGGAAACATGGTTTATAGTGTGTGAAAGCCTCTTTGGGGGCTGATAACTCACATATGTTTTCTAGCTACTCAGGAGGCTGAGATCTGAGGTTTGCAATTCAAAGCCAGCCTAATCAGGAAAGGCTGGGAGACTCTTCTCTAATTTATCACCTAAAAATTAGCAGTAGAGATATGGCTCAAAGTCGTAGAGCACTAGCCTTGAGCAAAAGAGCTCAGGGACAGCACCTAGACCCTGAATCTAAGCCCCATGATCAACCACCCCACCCCCCCCAAAAAAAGCCGCTTTAAAGCCCTGAGGACCGGAACTAGGGCTGCCTGCACCTTGCAGCACCTCCCTCACGCACAAGCCCAGCTTCCTGAGACCAGCCCAAGCACCATCTGGACCTAACTCCCTCTCTGCTCCCCATTCCCTCCTAACTCCCCCCAGTTTCTTCCCAGGAGTCTCTTGACGCAGGCCCTTGTGTGTGGCCAGTAGCAGTGAACACTGGTCACTACACTATAGTGCTTTACAGGCACTGACCATGTCCAGAGACCGTGGAATGTGTAGAAAAGTTATCAGGACTGAGGCAGGGGCAGATTGCAGATGAGTCAGGCCAGCTCTATGCCTGAGCTGGTCCAGTACTACCAGTGCCTGCTGGTCTGTACAGAAGTGGTGCATGCAAGCTGCTAAGGACCTAGCTATTCCCTAAGCTAGTTCCCCACCTGCTCGCCCAGGTCAGTACTTCTTTCTGGAGGCCTCTGAGAACTGGGCAGTACCAGGTGGGTCCCACTGTTGGTGTCCAGCAAGCTTAGGAGCCACACTGTCTTGGGAAATGAAGAAGGGACACCTCCACACCAAGCCTGCTGATACTGTGGCCACCAGGAACCTAGATGAAGGGTTTAGGGACACCATCCTTTCTCAGAGACTGCAGGAAATGGGGCTCTGCGTCCTTTAGGAAGGCACAGCACCCCAGTAGGCAGGCAACACGCTGAAACCCAGCACCAGCATACCTGGCTCATTCTGGCTCGTCTGCAAGTTTGGGCGTTAGACACACACTAACCCAGGACTTTTTGTTTAGCCCTGGCTTGGCAGTGAAGACCACCACCGGCTAACAGCCTCTTCCTAGCCCCACCTTCCCTTTTTGCCCTCCAAGGACATTGGGTGACCACTTCTCATCAGACCTCCACACCATCCTTGCAGCACCTCACAGTAACTTCCCAGATTGGCTAAGGTAATGGTAAGGCCAAGTCCCTGCCAACAATCAAGGTCTGTCCCCTGTGATCAGGTGTGTAGACCAGGGTTGAGCCTCTGGGCCTCTGAGCCTTCTGAGGTCTGCCGTAGCCCTGTCTGAGACACCAAGGTGAGGCATGCAGTGCACTCTTGCTGGCCTAGTCCTCAGGAGGAAGGGGAACCCACACCCAGACCAGGACTCAATCCCTTTTAACTCCCCAGGTCTCAGAGCTGCTACTTGGTTCTCCTATCACACACGGATGGCAGGAGGTAACTTGGGAACCTGAGTAGACAGAAGCTTCCATGAAGGCAGTGTGTTTGTTTCTGAAACCATAGAAAGCCAGTCTTTCAAATGCTCCAGTGAAAATCCTAGTTCCACCACGGAGCAGTGCAGTGCAGTCAAGTCACTGAGATGGGGGGTTCTGATTTCCTCTAGAACTGAGAGAAGGGGAGTTGCGATGTGGCTCAGTGGCAAAGCACTTGCCTAGCAAATGCAATGTCCTAGGTTCAGTCCCCAGTACCAAAAAAGAAGACAAAAAAAAATGCGGAAGAGGGCTGCTCCCCAGAATGCCACCAATTCCAATACAGTGACTATCACTGAGCTAGAATGAGACTACAGACTATGGCAGAAAGCTCCAGCCAATTGCCTTCCCTTCTGCCTGAGCCATACTCTGCCTATTGCTGAGACTACCCCTCCCTGAAGCCGCTGCTCCAGCAGGTAAGGGAGCAAAAGGCCATCCCTTGACAGCATCATTAAGGCATGAGATGTGTGACTCCCTTCTTGTACTCAACCTGTGACTACAAAAGTGTTGCCAAGATTCCAGCCTCCCACAGAGCAGAGCTTGCATTCCACCCGGGAATGCAGAATGCATAAGTAGGCTAGGCATGCCAAGAAGCCAAGAAAACACCCAAGTCCAAATGGCTGTTTGCTGCCACTGCGCTCTCCTTGTTTTTCCTGGAGGGTCTGAGATGGCAGTAAGGAACCAGGTGTGCCTGAGCCGTTCACATTTGGCTGGGAGAGGAGTGCACTGCAGAAGCTGGCACTGGGGCTCCGGACACCAGATCTGAGCCCCAGCACGTCATGGAAAGGCCCAGCCTGGCTAGGAAGGCCAGCACAGTCCATAAGCCCATACAGGTCACACCTCTCCATGCTCTGCACACCAACCTGGAAATGGAGATCCGAGGTGACAGCACTCATGGTGACTACCATTTACCAAGCACCTGCTCCATGTGACTTTCCCCCTCCTTAGGAGGTGGTACTATTTCTGCTTGCTCAGGAAGAAAGTGAAGTCTTTACCAGTGAGGACCTTGCCAGAGTAACACAGCAAGCAAACATCTGACTCTTAAGTTCGGAATCACTGGTATGTCCATGAAGTTGTAATGAGGTTGAGTTCCCAGGGAGAAGGGAAAGCTGAAGCCGAGGGGCTGGGGTAGGATGGGGCAATCAGAGAGAAAGACCACAGAAGCTGGAGTGATATCTGGGTCCAGTCACATCAGCCTCCAGGAAAATAGGTGCTTTTGACTTGCAAGCACCTTTTCTCCCCACCCAGGTGAGTGACAGGCCCCAGGAGGAATGATAGGAAGTACCTAGAAGGCCTACCAGGGAGACGGTCTTTAGCTATAACGAGCTCCCCACTCATGTGGTTAGTTATATTGCCACTGAGGACAACGTAAGCAGGCTTTAAGAGACATACCCCAAACCTGTTTGTAGCCCTCTTACCTGGTTGTAAAATCCTCGTTGGTAAGGCAGGAGTACAGTCAGTAGGTTACTGGTTCCAGAACCCACATTGGATATCCAGATTTACGGATGGCTCAAGTCTTTTCTATCCAGTACTTGTATAGGACCTACACACATCTCATAGACTTGAAGTTGTCTCCAGATTACTTAAATAGAATCTAATACTGTGTAAGTAACATGTAAAAAATTGTACTCTGGGCTGGGAATGTGGCTTAGTGGTAGAGTGCTTGCCTAGCATGCATGAAGCCCTGGGTTCCATTCCTCAGAACCACATAAACAGAAAAGTCCACAAGTGGTACTGTGGCTCCAGTGGGAGATACTAGCCTTGAGCAAAAGGACTCAGGGACCTGAGTTCAAGCACCAGGACTGGCCAAAAAAAAAAAAAAGTACTAGGGAAATAATGTGCATGTTTAGTATGGATCAAAGTCAAACATTCTCCCATTCACAGCTGGATTAATGTGCAGACTCAGAACTGCCAACCTGGAGCCAATGACTATATTCCAAGGTTTAAGGAAGTGTTTCTGTCTGTCTATTCCAAGATAGAACCATTATGTCTACCCTGAACACCTCCCCAAGCTGCTTTCCCTTCCCATTAGTCAGCCCCAGCCCCTGCCAGCAATGGTTTCTACAGAAGCTTATTTCAATTCCAGGGCTCTGCATGGATAGGTACAAGAGCCACGGACATACAATCTCTCCTGAGACACTAACAGCAGAAATCTGTCTGCTCCCATGTAGTGGTGCATGCCTGCAATCCCAGCACTTGGGAGGCTAAGGTAGGAAGGTAGTAAGTTGAGGGCTAATCTGGCTTCTATAGTAAGAGAAAGAAGAAGTCTGAAGACTGTTTGCTTAAGACAGTCTAGCAGTGAGAGCAGAGAGCTGGCAGCACAGGGGGAAGCATGAGCTCATCCTCTGACAGGTTTGTAAGCACTGAAGTTAATGTATGGTTTTAATCCCTGCAACCATTTGTCAACTTCTTCCAACATCAACAGAGGCCATGAGGTGCAGTAATGGCCTCTGCAAAGTCAAACCGCATAACAATAGTGACTTTGATGCCTTGGTCTGCCTTCTAAAATGGTTTGGGGTTGCTTCGGGTACAAGCTGTAATCATGACAGCACCATCACAGGAACAACGGAACAGAGAGGCAGAAGGTGCCTACACAGTTTTACCTACACTTCTTGTTTGTTAGCACAACCCTGACGTGCCCACACCGACAGTCAGGAACAATTAGCACCAAGAAGTCCTGAGAAAGGCAGCACTTACAAGCATGCGCTTCGGGCGAAGGGAAGCCACCATCTGCCAATAGGCACCCATGTGTTGCTGTACTGGAAGGGGAAAAGAAGTGGGTTGGATGAGATCCGGAGGCCTCTCTGCCCACGGTAAAGTGAGTAGTTTCTCTGCCTGCCAGCATCACAGTGCCAACACATTCAGTATGTGTCTCGCTCAGTCTCACACCCAGGGAAGGAGAAACAATTGATGCTAAACCAAGGGGAAGAACACTGCTCAGGTCTGTGCTGAAGCAGCGAAACATAGGCTGTCTTTCGAGCTCACATCCACCTGGGTCCTCGAGACCTCTACATCTCTTCTTCTTTCCCTCTGTTCTCCCTCCTTCTCAAAGTGCTGAGTCCCTGGTACCCTAG